AACCGCTGAGCGTCCCAAAATCCAAGATGGATTGCCTTAGAAAGACAGAATCCACCCCTTCTTTCTCCACCCATCGTCTTCCAGTCCAGGAGTGTCCATCCTTGGCAAGGCCTGGGAACCTCAACTCCCAGAATTCCCCAGCCAGCTGGCTGGACCCCCTCGTCCGGTCTTTTTTCTGACCTTCAAAGGAACATCCCACCCAGGACACCCCAAAAATGGCAACTGAGACATGTCCGAAGATGAAGCAAGACTCAACGGAAGGGCCCTCCAAACTTTTTTGATTGTACATCTCATTAGTTAAAAAAAATGAAATAAAATAAAATTTGAGCCCCCTAAATATATCTCTACACATGCAATATTTATTTTTGTGTCCATTAGAAAGCCTGTTGCAATGTAAATATTCTCTTGGGGAAGGTCCAGGGAAGAAACTTACGGTCAATACCCCCGTTTGTTCCAAGTTCAGGAGAAACATGCAAGCGACACCCCAGAGTGATCACACGAACACAATTTCTGTCCATTATATTGTCAATTTTGGTTGACTGGTTTCTTGCAAACGCCCATAGAAAGAGATAGATTTGCTTTACAAGCACACACGCACAAAAAGGTGTAAAATTGGGCATGGTCATGTGGCACCTGGAGTTATGACCGTCATAACTTACAACAGGAAATTCAGGGCTCCATTGTTTGCAAGCTACACAAAGAGGAGGGTGGAAAGTCAGGTTGGTAGTTATTAAGATATCTATCCTTTGAGTGGGAGACTCAACGGAACTATCAATCAATCAAACAATCAATCAGAATAGAGCTGGATGGGACCTTGGAGGTCCTCTAGCCGAACCCCATGCTTGAGCAGGAGACCCCAGTGGTGGGATTCAAATATGTCAACAACCGGTTCTCTGTGTGGATGTTGCTTCCGGAAGTCCAACAAAAAATTAGCTACCGGTTCTGCCGAAGTGGTGCGAACTGGCTGAATCCCACCACTGGGAGACCCTATATCATTTCAGACAAGTGGGCATCCAGTCTTTTCTTAAAAACCTCCAGTGATGGAGCACCCACAACTTCTGGTGGCAAGTTGTTCCACTGGTTAATTGTTCTAACGGTCAGGAAGT